TATGTATTTCATCTCCTGATATGTAATCCTGGAAATAGGTTAGGTTATTGAAGTGATGGCCTGGCAGCCTAGTCTAAAGGCCCTTTTTTTTTTTTTTTTTTTTTTTGTTTTTTTTTTGGCTGTGTTTTCCTGATCTTGATCCCTCAACTCTGTGTGGCATAATGACTAAATTCTTGGCTGCTATCTTTTCTGTATTTCTTCTAAATTTCAAATTTTTTCTTTTCTCACTGAAAGCCAGCTCTTCCTCTGCCATTAAATATATAATTCTTTTGCACAAGCTAACATCTATCCTGTTGGTCTGTTTTGTTAAATAGCTTCCTTTACACACATATATATGTACATATACACACATATATATGCACATATATACATGTTACATATATACATATTTACATATATACTCTCTTCGCTCATCAGTTCTAGGCTCAATCCCCATTGAACTTTATCCTCTTCATTGGACATGTGATTTCAGTCTCCCTGGGAAATTTCATGTCTGGCTTCTCTTCCTGGACCTCTTTGCTTGTCTTCTTCCTTTCTCATCTTTGGTGTGACTGTGGAAGATTATTGCAATAATGGTAAGTCAAGCCTGTGTTTATACTCTTTTGCAATATAACACTAGCACTGCTGTCTCTTCCTGCCATTAAGAAGTGCCTTCCTTATCTTCAGCCCCTTGAATCTTGGCTGGTCTTGTGGTTTGCCTTGACGAATAGTGTATGGGGAAATGAAATTGTGCGAGCTTTAGCGCCTAAGACTTAGAGGATTGCAAATTCTGTTCTTAGTTTCTTGAAACATTCAGACTACGATGCTGTGAGGAAGCCCCATCTGACCTTCTGGAGAATGTGAGGCTATGGGGAGAACTGAAGCCAAGCCAGTAGCCATTATCAACTGCTGGACACATCAGTGAGGCCATCTGCTTTTTTTTGTTGTTGTTGAGGTGGGGGTCTCACTCTGTCCCCCAGGCTGGAGTGTAATGGCATGATCGTGGCTCACTGCAACCTTCACCTCCCAGGCTTGAGCAGTCCTCCCACTGCAGACTCCCTAGTAGCTGGGACCACAAGTGTATGCCACCATGCCTGGTTTATTTTTTGTAGAGACAGGGTTTTGCCGTATGGTCTCCTGGGCTCAAGTAATCTGCCCACTCCCAAAGTGCTGGGATTACAGGTATGAGCCACCAAACCTGGATGGCCATCTGCTTTTATATTCACTGAGGAGACTGGATTTCCACAGTTACATGTATGATCCCAGGATAGACCAGCAGAAGGACTTCAGAGATTGCCAACCCACTAAATAGTGAATCACAGTTGTTTTCAGCCACAGAATTTTGGAACGGCTCCTTAGGCAACAATAGGTAATAGATATAATCACTCTATTCAAGGCAAGCATCCTAGAGTATTATTCCCCATTCCCCAACTTCTGACTCCCTGTCTCCTCCAGCCCCTATAATCTGTGTTGTTAGTTCATTTTGCTTCTTTACATTTCACCAAGTCTTACACTGTGTAGTTATTGCATGTTTACTGGTCTGTGTCCCTGACTAAAAGAAGTTACCAGAGGGATAAAAATCTCTACCCTATTCACCGTTGTGTCGCTAACACCTAGTAGGATACTTAACAGACACTCAAATATGGTTTCTTTCTTTCTTTTTTTTTTCCTTGAAATTTACAAGCATATACACTTGAATCATACTGTATTTTGTAACCTGCTTTTATATTACACAGTGGAGCATGAACGTATTTCTGGGGCTATCGGTAGTCTTCTGCAACATTATTTTTTAAAGGCTATGCCTTTGTTGGGATGTATCATAATTCATTAAAACTTACACCCTATTTTTGACATATAGGTTGTCATCAGTTCTTCACTGTTATAAAAAAAAATACTGCCATGAACATCTTGTAAACAAATCTTTGTACACAACCTTCATTATTTTCTTACAATAAATTACTAAAAGTGAAATTGCCTTGTCAAAGGTTGTATGAAATATTCCTAGCCTGTTTATGATTATTACAAAAGAAGGAAAAAAATTAGATGAGCCAAAAGAAAATACAAATTGCCAGAATTATGGGTAATGTTATTGATTTATTCATATATTCTTTTTCTAAAATAAACATATGCTTCTTAGGATTTTTTTAAATGTTATTAACAAAACCCTTTTCTTGTCACTTGTGCTTTCTTTTCTGGCAAAGAAGCAGAAGTATCTGAGAGTGAACTTTGGTTTAAAGCCGATAAGAGGCACACAAAAAGCTTTTAATGAACTGCTCAGTCAAATATTGAGCAGACATTAGAGAAATTATACTTTTTTTCTTAGTACAAAAGGATCTTAAATTTACTTTGAGGTGCAATTCTATATTCTAGTGTTAATTAAAATTTTCTGAGAAGTATGCTATAAACTGGAGTGGGTGTTACCCTGTTGGGATATGCAGTTAGAATTTGTGTATTGTAGATCACAATGTAATATGCTTGGAGCTATCACCATTCATTTATTTCAACAATAGCTCTTTTTTTATATATTATAAGATAATAAACCTTAATATTTAAATAATACAACAGATGGAGATTTAATATTTCATTTATAAGGTAGATTTTGGGGCAGAAATATACAAGGGGATTTTTTTTTTTTTTTTTAAATCGGAATGGACTTGAACTTAAAATAATCAAACTGATTTAGTCCTGTTAAGCTGTTTTGTTTCTAGGATAAAGAGGCAGTCCCAAACCAGCTTTGAGAGTTTACTGGCAAACTAGTTAGGCTGAGTTGAGTAAAAGAAAACATTCTGTCAAAAGTAAAAACCACCTTTCAATTTATATGATACAATCTTCCAGCTTTACTGTTTGCCCACACTTTGTTTACTTTTTAAATCAGCTAACCTGGTAATGAGAATAAACCCATTTGGGGAATGTTGCCACAGACCAGTTGTGTTACAACCCACCCCATTCAGTTCTACCCTTTGCTAAATTTGGTTTTTGGTGAAGTTTTCAGTGATGAAATCTCAAACACTTCATAATTGCCTAATGCTTCGAAATTGACTGTGGAGGATAGCCAGAAATTGCATTTGAAGTTTCCTCTAAAAATTGAGGTAAAAAGGAATGTAACACATGAAAATTACAAAAAACAACTTTCCTTTCCTCAGAAAATATCCCAATTGGGTGATGATTTTGAGTCATTTTGGAAGAACAATAGTGTTCTGGTTTCATAGTTTCTGACTGGGAATGAGTTTTCCACTAAAATATAAAACGTCCAAAAAGGACTTTGTGTCAAATTTCACGATAATGCTATTTGTTACATGCATTTTTGTTCTTTTAATTATTTGGCTTAATTTTTGTTAATTGAAAACATAATGAGCACAGTAAACTTCTTTTTAAATACAAAAGAAAGGAAGGTTAAAAAAAATACAATTCTTTCTATGCCTTCTAAGTCTTCCTTCTCCCGGCATTCAGTGTTAGATATTTCTTGTGTACTGAGATATTCTATTGACATATAAGGTTATATGCATACTCAATCTTCCCCTCTTTCCCCTCCCTCTCTTCCTCTTTCTCTTACCCTCCTTCCTTTGTTTTTCTCAAATAGAAACATTTTATACACATTTTTCTACATACTCTTTCCACTTATATCTTGGGAGGTTGTTTATCAATAATGGAGAACAGATTTATTTTCCTTTAATCAACCAAGTTTGATTTATTACCCTGTATAATCCTGCATATATTCTTTATTTTGCTTTCTTTTGTTTTGTTTTTAAAGAACATAATACACACCTATGATTTAACAATTAAAATTCCACAAAAAGGATGTGAATGAATAATCTTGCCCCTATTTCTGTTTCCCCATCCCCTCCCGAAGGTCAGACTTACATCGGTTTCTTATATACCCTTCCCTAATATTTCTTTATGTAAATGGAGGCAAACACTAATCAATTATTTTTCTTTCATTCTTATGTAAAAGATAGTATGTCACATGAATCAGAGCCCCAACAGGAAACAGAATTCAACTAAGATAGTTCTACTGAGTAGATTTAATGAAATGAATTTTTATAGAGGTTAACAGTATTAAGGAAACAAAAAGAAAGCTGAGACACGCAGAGACTAGTTGGAAAATTTACTTCCCTTAGACCTGGGAGGGGAGCCAATAAAGGGGATCATACGGGTACCAAAGTTACCACGGGAGAGCTGGAGTCATGCAGGAAGACTGCCTCCAAGGCAGGAGTTGTAGTTGTTGTTAGATTAATCACTGCCAGATATTTGGAAGTAAGGTGGAGAGATACGGAAAAGAGATACCCTGACTTCCCTCTCTTCCCACACACCTACCTATGACCCCCATTTACCAAACTCTCTGGAAGTGAGATGGCAAGTAAGCCCTGTTGATGCAATTCAGATAGGGCATGCTTTCAGAAAAGAGAGCAAGGCAGGGAATGGTGGGGGCAGGTGGGGGTGTGTGAATTATCAATATGGTTAGAGATAAATGGAGAATAGCCAGATACATACCATATGTGCTATTCTGCACCCTGCTCATTCCCATTTCTTATAGCTTAAAGATGTTTCTGTAACAGGACTAAAGGAGCTCTCTCATTCCTTTTGTCCATTGCAGAGTATTCCATCTTTATTTAACATAATTTATTCATGCTGCCTAATTACCAAAAACACTTAGATTTTTGCCAGTCTTTTGGAATGTTATGATGGAAGCCCTCCTGCACACATTATTTTGTATATGTACAGCAGTCTCTCAAGGATACATTCTCAGAGTGTGATTGTGGAGTCTAGTTTTGGTAGATATTGCCAGATTCCCCTCCTCAGGGACGGTATCATGACAAAGTCTATGATGCCTTTTTCCACAGCTGCACAGATAGTGTGTTGTTGATCTTCGAAGTGTTTGCTAAAATGATGTGATAATGTAATCTTGAAATAATTTTTTTGGCATTTCTCTATTTTGAATAAAATTGAGCATCTTCTTGTACATTTAAGCAATAATGTGTTTCTCTTCCTATGAACTGTCTTTGTGATTTGCTCATTTTCCCGGTGGATAGTAATTATCTTTCTGATTTTAGAAGTTCTTCATCAAATAAGGACATTAATCCTAGGTGTTATTAGTTGAAGATACTTTATCTCATGTGTTTATTATTTTAACTTTGCTTCTCTTTTTCATTTATTATTATTTTTCAGACAAAGTCTCTGCTGCCCAGGCTAGAGTGCGGTGGTGTGGTCTCAGCTCACTGCAACCTCTGCTTCCTAGGTTCAGGCAGTCCTTCTGCCTCAAACTCCTGAGTAGCTGGGATTACAGGTGCCTGCCACCACGACCAGCTAGTTTTTTGTATTCTTAGTAGAGATAGGGGTTTCACCACGTTGGCCAGGATGGTCTCAAACTCCTGACTTCATGATCCACCTGACTTGGCCTCCCAAAGCGCTGTGATTACAGGCCTGAGCCACTGGACCCAGCTGCTTCTCTTTTCTAAAATGGAGATTTATTTCTTGTTTTTATTTTTAGCATCACATTTATCAACTTTTTGTGTCATCTAGATTTTTGAATCATGGTGAAAATGCTCCCTCTACCACAAGGTTATATATGAATTTGCTCAAGCTTTTTGCCAAGTGTTTTTAAAAAAGTTTTATTAATTATATTTATAATTTTAATCTATTTATAGTTTATCTTTCTCGCCTCCTTTCTCAGCCCTCTGATAGTTCTTTCAAAGCAACTTAGTTGTTCCAACATTCTATATTAGATAACCTATATTTACCTGATGGATATGAGATGCCACTTTAATCTTTACTAGTTCTTTTATTTTAAAAAACTTATTTCTGGACCTTCTAATCTGTACCACTGGTTTATCCACTCCTAGACCAGAACTACATTGTTTCAGTTATTTCATGGAGGCTCCACCATATGTTCTAGAAGATGATAGGGCAGGTCTCACATCCTTGCTCTTCTTTTTTCACAGTTTCCTTGACTATCCTTGTTTAATTTCTTTGAGAATTTAATAATCTCCTTTCTGGTTTTTTTGTTTTGTTTTGTTTTGTTTTGTTTTTTTTTTCAGAAAAAACGAAAGCCACGTTTGTGGTATATACATAGGGATGATGTTAAATTTATTAATGAACTTATGAGACATGAACGTTTTGATTTTTTTATAGATTAGAAGTGGCAAATTAAAATTCTCAATGACCAGTTGTTATTTCTTATTGTAGCTTCTGTAATGTCTGTTGTAGGAAGTTGCTGATTATATTATTTGGTGTACGTGTATCCACAACTGTAAATTTCATTATGTGTTATGTTCGGTATTCTTATGTGCATTTTTTTGCTTTTCATCTGATTTTCATTGTGCCTGAAATTCATTGAATCCCTGATTCTTTGTTTTTATTTTCTTCAAACATCATTTTTTTCCATTTCAGAATTACTTTGTTTTGGGAATGTCTTTGGATACAGCATAGAGCTGGTTTTCAATTGTGATCTAATTTGAAAATCTGGTTTGTTTAGAAGGTGAATTATGTTTATATTTGTCAATGTGGTAGAGTTGCTATTAATTCAATATGCTTTTATAAATGTGAAGGTTTTACACAGTCTGTTTTATTTGCTTTTGAAATATGATTTTTCTGACATTTAGAGCAATACTTTCTGTTCTAAATAAATGTCTGTAGAATATCTCACTATCATGGCTTTAGTTACTTTGAACAGATTTAGTTACTTACTATGAGCAATAATTCAGCGGGCTTACGTTGTCTGTATTTGGTCATACTCCCTTTTCTGTAGCATCTAATTTTAGTCAAGATGGTTTAAATTTAGCATTTACTTTTGTATTTTGAAATATGCATATTCTTCCATTCTTGATTTCTTACCTCTGATTGATATACTTCAACTGCCATCTCATGGAGGTGAAGCAAGCAATGAGCTTAGTTTTGCATTTAAATGCATTCAATTTTACGGTCATGCTTTTTACCAAAGTTTTGTCCATGGTCTTTTGGTTGATTGGTGTTTAAAACCATAGTGGTAGTTTTCTCAGGAAAGACTCCTGTAAACTGTATCTTCTGACTTGTTAGTTGTTCAAAATTGTCTCTAGCCTTTATGTTTGGTGAGCTAGAAGTTGAAAATAAAATCACTGTCTCATGTTTTCAAGGACATAAAGTCCTTGGCTGTATATAAATCCCTTCAATTTATTTTCAGAAATAGGTTTTGATTCCATTTTGTGGTGGTGAATGTTGCTGGATAGAAGCCTAATGCCAGACTAATTCTCCTATAGAAGTGACTTGAAATGTTTGCTTGGCTGTCCAAAGAATTTTTCCTTGAAGTATTTTACTTGATAAATATCTTTGCTAGATATGTTTTTATACTGAATGACCTGAGTCAACTTTCACTGATACCCAGTATGCATTTTCAATATATTTTGTCTTTTTTAATTCCAGAATTTTTTTCATATATTCTAAAGTATGTGTTCTATAGTATTCAGTTAGTTTTAATCTTTCAGGAACTCCAAATATGCTTATTTTAGGACTCTATTTCTTGTCTACATTATTTTCTTTCTAATAATTTTAATGTCTAAAAGTTTTATTTCATTCTATGAATTTTCTAATTTCCATCTTGTATGTGTGTTAATATGCTTTCCACAACAACCCTTTTGCCTTGTTTACTTTCTAATTTTGTCTGAATTGGTAATGATTTTCCCTTTTCTTGTTTTTTTCCTGTTTATTCCTATTTCATTTCCTCCTATTAACTGACTGTCACCTCCTATGATGATCTTCCTTTATAGTTAAAACTACTTCATTGAAGTTGTAAAAATCTATTGTACAATATTTTGTTACAATTTTCTTCTGTTTTATGGGAGCATTTTTTTTCTGGTAAGTTCTTATCTATAGGAACGTTTTGATGCTCCTTTTCAAATATTTTTCTTTGTGAATTTTATGTGTGTGTGATTTTTGTCACCCATACCCAAATAATTCGAAATTTCCTGGACAGACATTTACATGAATTTTTTTATGGTGATAGTAGAGAAAAAGGGAAAAAGAAGGTAGTCCTTCTAGTCCTTAAATGACAGGACCTTTTTTTTGTTGCTATTTCTTTCTATGGTGCCTGTGCTAGGTATGTCATCTTGATCTCTACAAACCTGACTTTGTTCATGAGGATTTTTACCGCTTGTCTGACAAATCCACCTGTATCTTTTCCTGGCCACTACTGCCAAGAGACACAGATACAGCATTCCAAGAGGATCCTACCACTTCTAAAAGCATATTTGTGCTGAGGCTGTCTGGGATCTTCCATCCCTTCATTCTGCCATCATTTATTTGCGGCTGTCCATAGCCAGGTCCCCAGCACTCCTTGTTTCTTATGTCTTTCCTATTACCACTTCCTCTGAGGCTTTATGCATGGCAAAGCCACAGCTGCTTTTGGCAGCACTTACTCTAATTTGAGATCTGGGGTTTTCTCTGATTACTTGTCTCACTGAAAATGATTATTTCCATTTTCATTTTTATGAATGTTTTTTGGAAGTCAACATGGAAAAAGATAGAAGCAAGTATTCCTCACTAAGGATTTAACTCTTTAAAAATCATCTTATCAAACTTGGCCTTTGAGAACCTGGTATCAATAATGCAGAAACACAAACAGATGAATAAAAGACCAACTACTATGAATAACATTGTTAACAGAAAATCATGGAGGCAATTCCAGAAATGTAATTGAGTAGGCAGAATGGATGAGGGAATTAGTAGAAGCTGGTTTCCCTTGATTACGGAGGCTTCTTTCTGAATTCATGAGGAGATTCTACTAAAGAAATCTGTGGTTTGTTGGTTACATTTGACGTGAAAAGAAAATAGTCCAAAAGATGTAATATATTGAAGCCAAGCATTACTGAAAGGAGCAGTGTTTGTATCAATCCACTCTAGATCTTTGCCTACTTTCTTAAAGAAATTCAACTAGACATGTTAGAGAGCTCTGTGAATTGAGTAAGTACATCATCAAAAAAGAATGATCATACATAGTAGATATTTATCCCTTTCAAATCATTGTACCCATACAAGCTGCTTATCAGTTAATGGATGGAGACTGGCATGGTTTGGCTGTGTTCCCACCCGAATCTCATCTTGAATTGTGGTTCTCATAATCCCCGTGTGTCATGGAAGGGGCTAGGTGGAGATAATTGAATTACAGGGGCAGTTCCTCCATCCTGTGAGACAGTGAGTGAGTTCTCATGAGATCTGCTGGTTTTCTAAGTGGTCTCCCCTTTCACTGGACACTGATTCTTCTCTTGCCTGCCACTATGCGAAACATGACTTTGCTCCCCCTTTGCCTTATGCCATGATTGAGAGGCCTCCCCAGCCATGTGAAACTGTGAGTCCATGAAACCTCTTTTTCTTTGTAAATTACCCAGTCTTGGGTATGTCTTTTTCAGCAGCATGAGAATGAACTAATACAGAGACACTCAATTTCACATCATTCTTCTAATTACAGAAAGTTGCTTGTTTCAGTAGCAGAGATGGCTTTACATGAAGCTAATGCAGAAATGCTCACATTCATGGGACTATTTCCAGGCTCAGGGAAGAGCCTTAGCAATGTGTATCCATGGTGATATGGCTCTATAAAGTTTGCAATAGGAAGCTATTTTGACTTGAAAAGATAGAGTTTTCCCAAGTCCAACTTCCCTTTTGACTTACTGCAACATTGTTGGGTAGGTTGCCAAGAATTTAATGTATCCAGTTAAATTACTCCTGTCCCAGTGCAAAATTGACAGCCAGTAATAATTCTACCAACCTTCTCCCTCTTTGCCAATTGAACCAGTGCAATGAAAACAAGTGAAGACTCATTGTACCACAGTATGAATAGAAATATATGGATTGTTAAAGATGTGTGAAGCCAGAAGCTAGGCGTTAGACACACAAAATTATTATAAATGGAAGATTAGGTTCTCATCAACACCTTATCAATTTAGAAATTTTATCTGCCAGGAGTAGTTGAAAATGCAGTGTGTATAATTAGATATACCTTGTGCTCTTTTTAAATGGAAACCAAATGAAATAAAATTTTCATAGTTCTTGTGTTTGTAGGAAATAAATCCATAGTAGTGCTATAAATAGCAAGTATGTTTATATGCAAAGTTGTATGTCAGCTTTTAAAATTTGTCATTTGTTGTGACTTTCCTCATAAATACTTATGTTTGTACTTAATTTTGTATTTTAGTAGTGTCAACATTTTTTTTTTTTAACCTTTTTCCTAAAGAAGGCTCTGAAAGCTGTGTGAGCCTCAAGCCCCACAGAAGCTGGATTAGCTTCTTTACAACAGGATAAAATCAGAATTTCCCATACCAATAACTGGCTTCCAATTGAGATGGAGGAGAAGGGATCCCAGCTGCCAGTTCTCAATAGTTTCTGTATTTTGGATGAGTTTTTAAGAGGGAAACAAATCTTCAGTTTACTTGGGGAAGAGTGTAGGAAAAAGAAAAGGGGATACCCTGCTCTTTGTGATATTTCCTGTTTCTCTTTCTTAGACTATGTCGAATAAGAATGGTTTGAGACTCCATCAGATTCAGGATGACTTAATGCTTACCTTGAATTACATAGAGTCCTATGGAGGTTAATTTTGTCCTTAGGTTTGGGCTCGTGAGGTCTCTGCCTCAGGCCACTGGCCTCAGTGGGTCCCTGATGTTGGAGAGCCTTATTAAGATGTCCTCCATTTCTTGGGATGGGCTGCAGAACTGCCATTCAGACAGGAGTTTTGAGCATAGACCATAGACCTTGTCATGTGTGGGTCCTGATCATGGAATGCACCTGTCCCAATTTTTTTCTTTTTTGAGATGGAGTCTTGCTCTCTTGCTCAGGCTGGAGTGCAGTGGTGCTATCTCAGCTCACTGCAGTCTCCGCCTCCTCTGTTCAAGTGAATCTCCTGCCTCAGCCTCTCTTGTAGCTGGGATTCCAGTGCTTGTCACCATGCCTGGCTAATTCTTTTGTAGAGATTGGGCTTTGCCTAGGTGATTTCGAACTCCTGACCTCAGGTGATCCACCTACCTCGGCCTCCCAAAATGTTGGGATTACAGGCGTGAGCCACTGTGCCCGGCCACACCTGTCTCAATCATCTGTGTCTCCCCCTCTGGTGGCTAGGAGTAGCCATAACTAGCATAACCATAGGGAGTGGTCATCCTGAGCCTAGTCCTGGACCTGCAGGTCCTTGGTCTCTCTTCACTGGAGGGCGCTCTCTCACTTTCTACCACAGTCCAATGGGATCTTCCTGGGTCTCTGAATAAGCCCCAGTTCCAGGAGGGCAGCAAGATGATTGCTTCTGCTAGTCTTTGTTAGATAGCTTTCACAGAACTGCATGAGGCTGGACAACCAGAATATGCTGACATGCTTATTTTGAATAACTCTCACTTATACTAGATACCAGATGGGTTCAGGGTTCTGGACCGTCAGCAGTCTGTTGATGACTGGTGGATTTGAGTCATGTGTTGTGCTGGCCTCTGCCCATCAATGTTCCCATTGCAGTGCCCTCTCTGGTCCATAGTGCCTGAGAGCGGTGGGAGTGGCAGAAAGTATTCCTTATCATGTGTATTTCCCAAAGCTGGCACCCACGGCATTTACTTCATCCCCTCTGCCAGCTTTATGCCAGTGTCAGCTGGTCCTCCTGGCGTGGCTGTACCTATTTCCTCCTAGCTTTTGAGACTGTTGCTCCCCAATACTGACAGGTCTTTTGGGTAGACGTTATCTCTGAATTGCCTCCTATCCATGTGACATTGAGTTTTCTTGGTTCAGTCTTATGCAGTGATAAATAAAAAGCAGACATTCCTATGTGAATGGGAATCCTTTTTTCCCCTCTGCTCACAGGTCTAATGGTAGTATTTGGAAGGCAGGGGTGCAGTTAACTCGAAAGAGATCACATTCTAGGAATGCAGTGATTATGGCCCAATGAGTTCAAGAAAAGACATGTTTGGAAAGTGTATTCTGCATTTGTACTTGAAGATTTTGAACTGCATGCCCGACAATGAACTCACATATCCTGCATACTTTAGATAAGACTTGAATTTGTGCCCATCAACTAAGCACAATAATAACCTGAGAATTGTATGAAGCCACTATTTATAGATGCTGTAGCATCATTAGTAATGATGTAACCTGCATTCAAGAAGTTACTCTGCAACTTCTAAGGCAAGATCAATATTGTTTCCATATAAACAGGTTCTAAAAAACCATGAAAATTTGAGTGATAATGACGTTTCTGTCTTTTTCTTGAAGTGGTAGAAAGTAGCCAAGAATGGTGCATCTGATGATTAAAAAACACAAAGGGTTAGTTCCTGGATCTGAACCAGAAGAGTTCGTGCCTGGACACTGTAAAGGGTGTCCCCATGCAGATTGCGCATGAAACAAATATGCAGGTACCTCTTTTCTGCCCAGTCTTCCAAATCTTCATCAATATATATACATCAAAAAGGTTCACACGTTTTTAACAGATTTAATTTTAACACAGTTTTAAATCACATTGTTTACTTAGATGAGGACCCCATAAAAAATAGCCTATGGACTCACAGACTCATACAGGTGTCCCTGTGGGAGGTAGGACATATGACTAATAAGATCTGGTCTCTGCTATACATGTGCAACACAAGCTTTTAAAATTATCTTATTCAGGGAGTGCTTCCCTTTTTTTGATGAAATATTAGCTGCTTGGTCATTCCTATTTTAATTTCACTATATCATATAATTAGAAGCTTATTCATAATGATATAAATTTCATTCTCAAATTGCCTCCACTTACAATTTTACTATTTGTTAATTAGTACTGTTTCGTGTAGCTTAGTACTTGCTTATTTGTAAATTATTTCACACATATTTACTTGCTGTTTCCAAATATAAAATCCTTAAATGAGATATTTTAAGTCTTTGTTTTTCAGTGTGAGAAAAAGGCTTTGATAGGTAATATAAGAAATAATTGTCAGAATTGGGCTATAAATATAAATTGATATAAAGAATAATGTATGAGAAGGCATTTTGAGCTTTTAATTTTAATTAAATACAGAGTCTAATTGCCATTACATTTTGGTTCAGCTTGAATGTAGTATTGGAAAACATGGGGTAAAGTACTTCATTCTATGCTGATCTTAGTGAAAAAGAAGATGAGTCTTATTGCATTAAAAGATACTAATTTTATCCTTGCTCCTGACTTTGAAAGTCTTGATGGAAGGTAGATCCATACCCCTTCCAGTTCAGAAAAGCCATCATCACTTATCATGCTGCTGTTTTCTATTCTGGTGCAATCAATCCAGTTAATGTCAAGTACCACTGACAAGAGTGTTCATGATTCAGTCATCTGGAGGCATTTGAAGGGTTGGTACAATGACTTGGATTGAAAAATAAACAGAAATAAAAATTCCTCTAGTCTGAACTTTCCTGTAATTTCAGTGGCCTCCCTAGAGCTGTAACTCAGAGACACGGACAGCGAGGCCCTTTCCTTCAGAAGATAACATCACCAACTCACCTACACAAAGTGGGTATGAATATTCCATGCCTGGCTGGAGGTGGGTGCTCTGCTTTCAGCTTCAGCATAAGAATGGTAGACTTGGCCCAAAGTGGCTAGTTGTTTGTTTACTGTACACCTACACTGTACCGTGTAACCTCGCCCCATCTCACTGGACCAAATTTCTCATGAGGGCGGACACCATGTTTGTCTTCACTGATGTTTCCTTTGCACCTAGCACATGGATGTGTAGCTTGTAGAGGACCTTACTCTATATTTAATGGTAGTCTACTGATGTGGCTGAATTCTTGAAGGGGCAAACTTGAAAGTTTACTATTAGATTTCACAGCATTAAAAAGCCTCTAATGATATTGTTGCCCCTGAGAAGAAAAGTACCGTATCACTTTGATGGACACCAATCAGTGGAAATGAGAAAGATTCATTTATGATTGTTTCCTGGCTTCAGATGAATAACAAAAGATTGTACAAAAGATTATGGGGGTATAAAAGGACGTAATTTCCCTTTATTGTCTATTCTTGTTTTATAGTTCTGATCACTCTTTTCTCAATCTTTTCTCTCTCTCATCTTTTTGAGCTACTTATGAAGTTCTTTTGGCTGGGTCAGGCTACCATTCAAATTATGCCTTGTTTAGATTACTTACCATTTTTTGGTTACAAAAACCATTACCCAGGGTGAGAGGGGGAAAAAATAGGAGGGCAATGTAGATTGCTCAGGATTTACTTTAACACTCTTTCTGTCCTCATCACTGGAGTCCTCTCTCTTTCCCTTTCTCCTCCACCCCACCCCATCTCTCTCTCTCCCCCTCTCTGTGTTTATTTAGGTAATTATGACAAGAATATTAAAAACCTCACTTGGGCATCAGTAACCTCTAATTCTTATAAATACTCAATGATTGAATGAAGGGATACATGCACTGAGCAGGGCGTAGTATATACCCTTGATACCCTTTGGCTTCAAATTTCCTCAGTATTCTGTCAAGAATTTTTAGTAACAAATCCATTGTTGTGTAAAATTGCATTTTTAAATTTCCCTCCTTGAAAGACTGCGTACCTGACACATTTTGACCAATTACTGATTCTTTTCGTAACTGGGCTGTGCTGAGGCAGCTTCTGGACACAGCACATCTTGTAATTAGATAAATTTGAGTTGATTTGTCTGAAAGCAGCCTAATAAATGACACTCTGCTTGTCATGGAAAAATCTCCTCTTTTATTCTAGGGGCGTAGGGGGTCTTGTATTTACTTGTCCTGTTAGTCAAAAGAAATATGGATATGCTTAATTTGACCTTTAAGCAGACATAGCTCAGGTGCAACTGTCTTTCTTTATACAACTATTTGGCAAACTTTTCCTCTCTCTTTGATAGCACTAATTCCTGATTTTTTTATGCCTCAGTCATTAAACAGTGGTAGGATACAAGAGCACCAAAGAGTATGTGACATTTAATAAATGCCAGTCACGGAGCAGGAATAGGGTCAATTTGAAATGTAATTTTTATAGAACCTTCTTAACTCCAGGCCAGTCATTTCACAGGTGGATTTGACCATTGTGTGCATGGTGTGATTTCATGGCCTTCTTGAGAGAGCCTTGATTTAACTCTCCTCTTGGAAGACACTTTCCCACAACCTGCTAGCTGCTGGAGGAAATTTTATTTCAGCTGTTGACACAAGTATTTCTAGGAGGGATTGTACAAAGATATTCTCAAATGCTTGACTTTTAAAGGGTCAGAAAGCAGATTCTAGGAGGTGTGGGAGAAAACGTCTATGGGGGCAGTAATGTGAGAATGATGAGCAAGGCAACTAAAGTGGTGAAAATGAAGCAGAAATGGAATTAAGGTAGCAATTTCTCTGACAGCTAGTCCTGGCAAACACAAAATAGAATCTAGAATTTTTGTCTGCCTCCATGGGGCATTGATGAATAGGCTTTTAGTCACAGAAAGTCTCACCAGTGTTATTCAGGTAGAACAGATATGCATGATATCTAGACAGAAATAATCTCAGTTAACACAGTGTTCTGAAAGCCACTGAGAGCATGCCTTAGCTTCTTTTGGTGTCCAGAGTATTAAATTCATTGCAGTTCTTAGGTAGGGCAAATTCCATCTCAATACCTACTGATAACAAAGCCCAAAGAGTTGACCTATTCTATTGTGTGGGGTGCCTTCTTCATGAAAATATTCTTTGGAATGTTTGTGTAGATGCAGTGTTCCACCCTTCCACTATTTTGAGGAAAAAGTGTTTTTTTTAAATTGGGATACAAGGAGAAAATTGGTGCTACACTGAGCAGAATGAATGAAGCAATGATATGTCTTGTGACATTAAACATCTCTCTATAGGAATAGTTCAGGGTGTTACATAAATCATTTACTATCAAGAATTGAAGAGTTTTTTAAGTGTAGATTATATCTGTGATTTGGGCAATAAAGAATAGAAAAGATATTATGTAAATTTCTATTTAATGTTGATTATTTATGGATATCAGGAAATGAGCTCTCATGATCCCAAAAAGATCATAACAGTTTACAATAGAGTCTTCTCTGCTTTATGATACTTGGAACAATGGGTTATAATTTGCACACAAATATTTTTCCTCATAGTTTTCAATATTAATCAGAAAAATTTGTGAGTAACATTGAAAACTGGGGAAAATACATTAATCACAAATAATGTTAACATTGGGGGTGGGGCCATGATGGCCGACTAGAAGCAGCGTTATCAGAGTCCTCTTCTTTCATTGGTTCTCCATTTAAAGAACCATAATAGCATGTGAATCCTGCATTGGCAACTGAGATATCCAGGCTCTGTTATCAGAACTGATTAGGCAGCTAGTGTGACCCACGTAAAGGAAGGAAGTTGGTGTGGTACATCGGCCCACCTGAGAGCCACAAGAGGCAGAAGAGCCCCTACCCCTCAGAAAAGGGAGATGGAAGTGAGTGTGCTGCCCAGCCTGGGAAACTGGACTTTATCCATGGAGCTATGCAACCCACTGATTGGAAGATCCCACTTGTGAACCCACAGCACTGGGACCTAGGGTTCCAGCCACGGAACCATGAAGATTCTAAACAGTCACTCAGCTAGAATCCGCTTAAGTCTGCTGAGTTCCTGGAGGAAGGGGCGACTGGCATCACAGTTGCTACAGCTGCTGCTGCCTGCTGTCTAAGCCATTTGAGGTCCTTGGGGGAGGGGCAGCAGCCAGGACTGGAACTAATATCTGCCACACAGAGCAAGCTGCCAAAGCAGGGCAAGGGTGGCGGCCATCTCTATAGCTGCAGGCAGTGCTTTTTGCCTACTAGAGTTAGGGAAGCTGGATGGCTTGTGTCCCCCTCAGCCCAACACACCTGCTGTGGCAGACTGCTGCCAGAGTGCCTCTTCAGGCCTGACCCTGACCCATCTCTCCTCACTGGGCAAGGTCTCCCTACAGGAACTCCAACAACTCCAGTCAGGGGCTCAGGAATGGAACTCAAATCTCCCTGGGCCTGAGGGTCTAGGAAGGGATGGCTGTAGTCTCTGTGGACCAGCAGACTTAGTCTTTTCTCCTGGTAGTTCTGAGGAATGCTGGCAGCCCAGATGAGCAGCTTTCCCCCCGAGTATGGCACACCTCCTCCACCAAGGGGCAGTCAAGTACTTCATTAAATGGGTCTTTCTCCCCGTGTCACCCAACTGGGTTGTCGGATGCCCTATACAGGAGCAATTCTACTGGCATGAGATCAGTGCCCTTCGAGGTCAGAGATCCTAGGGAAAGGAGCAGACATCCATCTTGGCTGTTCTCCAGCCTCGTTGAGTGACATCTCCAGGTGCAGGAGTGAACCAGATGAATAGGGCCTGTAGTTCTCCTTAAAGCCATCCTTCACATCCCTTGTTAGCTGTAGTCGTAAGTATTTTATTCTCTTTGTAGCCATTGTGAATGGGAGTTCATTCATGATTTGGCTCTCTGCTTGTCTATTGTTGGTGTATAGGAATGCTTGCGATGTTTGCACACTGATTTTGTGTCCTGAGGCTTTGCTGAGGTTGCTTATCAGCTTAAGGAGTTTTGGGGCTGAGAACGTAGGGTTTTCTCAATACACAATCATGTAATCTGCAAACAGACACAATTTGACTTTCTCTCTTCCTACGTGAATACCTTTTATTTCTTTCTCTTGCCTATAAAGACACATGCACAAGTATGCTTATTGCAGCACTATTTACAAAAGCAAAGACATGGAATAAACTCAAATGCCCATCAGTGATAGACTGGATAAAGAAAATGTGGTATATATACACCATGGAATACGATGTAACCATAAAAAGGGATGAGATCATGTCCTTTGCAGGAACATGGATGAAGCTGGAAGCCATCATCCTCAGCAAAGTAATGCAGGAACAGAAAACCATAGACCACATGTTCTTTTATAAGTGGGAGTTGAGTAATGGGAACACATGGACACAGGGACGGGAACAACTCACAATGGGGTCTATTGGGGGTGGGGGTTGAGGAGAGAAAACCTAGATGACGGGTCAATAGGTGCAGCAAACCACGATGTATACATTTGTAACCTACATGTTCTGCACATGTATCCCAGAGCTTAAAAAAGAAAAATTAATAAAGAATATTTGATTAATATTGAAAATTATGGGAGAAATAATCAGCATAATCAGCTCTATTAGTCTGAACCTAGCAATATTTTAGGATACCTGTCTTGGGTCAGGGAGTGAGAGATTTCATTAATTCTTTATTGAATGAGCCCTTCAAGGAGTAGCTGGAATTGATAAATTCTTCTAGAATCATCATTTAATCACTCATTAATAGAGGGTGGCTGGAAATAACTCTTGGAATGATGTGAAGAAGGTGGAAGGAGAGTGGAGAGTATTTCTTTTCTTGGAGCTACTCCAGGAAAAAGCCAAGATGATTCTCTGTTAAGATGAAGCTGTGCAGAGATGAGTGAGACTGGTTAGCATACCATGGCAAATAGAACTTTTAGAATCGTGAGAGGACTTAGAAGTCATTTCTTTGAATTCTTCAGGGAAGTTGATAATGAAGGACTGTCAATTTTATAAAGAATTGAGTCTCTTGCCATTTCAGAAATCTGTGGTACTTTATACTGTTAATATCACTTATTCTCATAATTTACCATTGTGTCCTGGGACACAAAGCAGTATACCAACCACTGCTTCTGTAACAGTGCTGTGAACTTCTAGAAGACGTTTGTTTTTCTTACTCACTTTTGTAGCTGTACCATGTAGTTCAGTGTCAGAGTTGTTGCTTAGTAAATGGTTGTCAAAGGCATTAATGGTTCATCAAAGTTATGAGCTAGTTGTGAAATGAGCTAATGTGCATAAAATAATAAATTATCAATACAAAGAACATGAGCAAATGTCCAATAAGATTCAGAGAATGAGAACATTAGATATTGTTTTCTTTCTGGGAGGCTTTCATGGAGGAAGGGTAACAGGCTGAGCCTTAAATATAGAAATAATTTAAAATACTAGAGGGTATGGAGAAAGGGGAATGCTCATACACTGTTGATGGGAATGTATATTATTAGTATAGCCACTATGGAGAACAGTATGGTGATTTCTCAAACTAAAAATGGAACTATCATATGATTTGCAATCCTACTACTGGGTATATATTCAAAGGAATGAAATAAGCATGTTGTAGAGACATCTGCATTCCTGTGTTTATTGCAGCACCATTCACAATAGTTAAGGCATGGAATTAACCTAAGTATCCATTAGTGGATAAATGGATAAAGAAGATGTGGTGCATATACACAATAGAATATTATTTATCTATAAAAGAGAAGGAAATCTTGTCATTTACAATAACATGGATGGAATTGGAGGACATTATGTCAAGTGAAATAGGCCAGGCACAGAAAGACAAACACTGTATTTTCTCACTGACGTGGGAACTAAAAATTACTGAACTCAGAGATTGAGAGAAGAATGATAGTTAGCAGAGGTTGGGAAGCATAGTGGGAAGGGATGGATAAAGACTGGATGGTTAATGGGTATAAAAATATAATTAGATAGAAGGAATAAGATCCACAGTAGAACAATAGGCTAACTATAGTTAATAACTTATTGCATATTTCAAAATAACTGAAAAAGTGGAATTGAAATATTTCTAATGCAAAGAAGTGATAAATGATTGAGGTGATGGATACCCACACCAGTTACCCTGATTTGATCACTTGACATTGCATGCATGTATCTAAATATCCCATGTATTTGATACATATGAACAGCTATGATGTATCCATAATAATTAGATATTTAAATGTAAACTACAATAGTTGTGGGTATAATACGCTATTCTTGCACCAATTTTCCTACTTCTGTGGTGTTCCCTTTTTGGGGGCGTAACATTGATTTGACTGGGAATCCAAGAGGAAAATTTATGGCTTTGGAGGAAAGAATGATATCAAGGTTGGTGAATAGAAACAGTGCATTAAGTAAACCCAGGGAAACATGCAAAAGTCACTAGCAATTTTTGGAGAGATCAATGACAGAGAGAGAGAGAGGGAAAGAGAGAGAGAGAGAGAAATTGGCATTCTTTTGACTTACTGATGAGAACCAAGAACACAGTTAAGTTTGGCTAAGTTAGAATTTTAATAAAGGTTGAATTGTGTATATTCCCCTCCAGGGTGCCCAGCAATAGGGTTTCCAACCTTAGGATGATGACAGTTTACAGGGATAAGACTATACATGCTAATTAAATATATTGTAATCAGAGTCAGAGCAACATGTGGTCTAATTAGTTCCACATTTGGAAATGACTTAGGAAGGGTTTGACGGTGGTTCATGAGCTAAATAATTTATATTGGTACAAAGTGGTGATATTAAGCCTGCTTATCCAAGATCGCCTTTGAGTTGCTATATACTTGGTTCCTCTCACTGGTTTAATCACATGCATTGTAAGTCTGAAGTTATATTGTTGCATGCCTACCAACACTGCTGCCTGGAAAAAACTTTAGACAGGTGACAGATAATTCTCCTGTTGATCAGAATAATTTGGTTTGGGTTCAGAGTACAAGGACTTGGATAAAGGGTGTTTCTTTGCAGATTTTTGGTATAAAGAAATAAATAGAATGCCAGAGAGCTCCAATACATTTTTACTGAGTGTTGTCTCCCATGTCTATTCTGATAGGAATAAAATAATGGCAGCTATCTCCTTTGAAATGAGGGCTGGACATTACCACAAGGAAGAGAGCAAAAGGAATGCTTCTGCTTTTTCTTTTTTCTTTTTTAGAGACAGACTCTCACTCTGTCACCCAGGCTGGAGTGCTGTGGCATGATCTCTGCTTACTGCAACCTCTGCATCCTGGGTTCAAACAATTCTTCTGACTCAGCCTCCCCAGTAGCTGGGACTACAGGTGCCCACCACCATGACTGGCTAGTTTTTGTAATTTTGGCAGAGACGAGTTTTCACCATATTGGTCGGGCTGGTCTAGAACTCCTGTCCTCGGGTGATCCGCCAGCCTTGGCCTCCCAAAGGAAAACCAATTGTGAAAAGATGGAGTGTATGGAAACTGGAAACTTGATTTCTCTATCAATAAGTCATGGCCTCCCTGTACCTGCCTAGTCATCTGCTTCAAGGTGATTAGATGGGTGCTCTGAGAAAGGTGATAAAATAACCACCTGTTTTGGAAGGTATTTTGCCACCCTGAAGATCATAATCTCTGACAACTTGGGTGAGTTTGAGTTTCTGTGCTTCTACCCATTCTTGATTAGGAAGGTGGAGGAAATAGGGAAGGTTAAAGAGGATAGAGTGATGTTTAAGCAAATATCCTGGCACTTTTGCAAGGTATTCCACCCTCAGGAGAAAATGAGAGGGATCTCTGAAATGTCAGAGATAAAAAGATCAAAATTTGGATAACTGTCAAGGATTTTAGACTTTTCACATGATAGTAAAGTTGGGATGGCTTTGAAATCAGTTATCATAAGAAGATGCTCTGAAGGTGATACATCGTGGTGTTTGCTAGTTAAGTGTTTTAGCAATGAATACATTAGTTTTATTAATAAATATTGGTTATGAAATATTAAATGTCTTGTAGAGTCAGGAATCAAA